AATGTTTAGGTCTGTTTACCCCTTTGCAGAAACACATATGGAGATCCAATGTACATCTACAGCAATATGATAAATCAGTTTCTGTAACAATTTCCCTTAACTCTTCCTTTTTCTGTACATAATTTTAGAGAGGATGCAGTGTTCCTCTCCTCAAAGAAGCAACTCGTGTTTCACAAAGAAAGTATGAAAACTTATTATCTGATAATGAAGAGGATCTGTTAAATATACTTTATGCTAAAAATATAAAATCCATAAAAGACTAAAAACGGAATAACAAAAAATGTGTCTCCTTTTCAGATATTACTGCTTCAGGCTGACTGTAGATACCTCTAACACTCTTTCTGGAGGTGATCCAAAATTCTACAAAATATAATGGATTTTTTCTTAAGTAACATGGATTATGATAGAAAATCTGAAATATTTTATTTCCTGTACTGTCCTGTTTTAGCAGGGATTCACATTCCTGGCTTTGGAATGCTTTTTAAATAAGTGGTATCTTTTGTCACAGGTACAGATGACAAATTTACTGTCTGAAATACCAGTGACAAGGCAACCAGGGCAGATGCTGAGCCCAGCAATGTCAAGCCTCAAAGGTTTTAGTGCCTAAATTCAGATGTAATTGCCTATCAAAATAAGTCATCACCGGTGCACCCACTATTGTCAGTTCTTGCACTGTTCCTCTCATCCTCTTTTAGTGTCCAATTTTGAGAACATGCTTTATGCTTAGAAGGACACTGAATCCTGGTGAGTTTATCAGTTTTAAATGGTAGCAACCCAAAATCATTTTGTCTTGGAGCATGAGCTGAATAAAATGTTAATTTTTGTTTCCGACATAAAAAGTACTGGTTCACAGAATGCCTGTACAGATTTTAATGCTATTCTAGAAAAAAAGATTTCTTTTAAAAATTTGCAAAACCGTAATAGGTGCACATCAAAATATTTGTTACTTTCTATCTCTTTGCCAAGAGGTAAGAAGAGTAATCCCACCCTGTCTCCTCTTAGAGGAAAACACGCAGTACAAGTTATATGTGCAGTGAATTTGTGCTCCTGAAATGGGCAACCTGCAACAGAATTCAGGCTGGCATGCTGAAGAACAGTCAACAGTGAAGCTGACATCAGAACAACAAAACTAGTCTACTTTGTCATGGTAAAAATCTATTACTTCTCTTCTGTCAAAGTGTATTTTATATCAGTGGCTCCCACATACCAATTAAACACCTCACTTCACTGAAGGGGAGAGCTATTTGTTGCCTTTGTACACTTGACTGGAAAAGAAGTCATTACATACATAACAGCCACTATAAAATTGATGATGATTTAGCAAATATTGCACTGAAATGATAAAAATGAGAATAAAAATATTATTATGTACACATGTAGCTATAGTGCAGACAAAAGAAGATTTAAGAGTGGCATAAATTTCTTCTTCTAGTAGTGTCAGCTCATGATCTTAGAGAAATTTTGTACCTTTTGAAAGAAAAATTATTAACAGCTGTTTGCATACAGCAAGATCTTGTAACAAACTTTTGAGAGTAAAAAATCACGCTTTCATATCTCAGTATTTTCCATGTATTTTTACTTCTATTTTTTTCCCTACTGAAGATCAGAAACACAACAAAATTTATTGCTTCTACTGAATAAGGAAAAGGAAAAAAATGTGATTTTGAATAACATAAAGTAATGCAGAGAAAGGCACATGTTCTGGTGGGAAACTGTGTCTGTTGCATAAATAAAATATATACAGCTATAAATACAATATGTAATACTCATTCCAAACCATAGTCACCTCTTAAGAAATAAACACTTGAGTCAAAGCAGGGTAACAGACTGGCAGTGCACTCCTGGCATTTGTCAGGAGCATTCATCAGGCTGACAGTAATATTAACCACAATCCATTTCAGTTGCTTTGGTTTATCATTGTGTGACTGATGTTCAAAACAGTGCCATGAGAAGCTGCTTAAATAAAGTGTTGGTTTAACCTATACACTGCAGTCCTTTAAATCTGTACTAACTGTGGACTTCTAGATAATATATTAACAAAACTGTTACCTGTATTTGATGCTTTGTAATACCTGACCATAACTTGCAATTTCTAAACAAATTTTTAAAAAGTTAATTTGTCATTTTCTTAGGTACCAAAAAAAGTGAAAATATTGACCTGACACCCTTTCTGCCAGACCAAAATCAAAGTTCTCCTTTTCTTTACTCAGTGGGAGCACTACATTGTGATGAGTTTCCGGATGTGCATTAAAAAAAAGGTAAATGACTGTCAAAACCATGTAAAAATTTAAGTGAAATATCTTTAAATATTTTGAAAACCTTTAGCAGTGCAGACATGCTACAATACATATTTACTACTTGTTTGGAAGCATTATCTCCGAGATAACAATGCTAAAATGAAAATGTCACAATACACATTCACAAATTTTCCTTGTTGAATATTAGCAAGGTCTTTCAGATACTTGTCACAAATTCATCATCTGACACTAAGTTTAACATTTAAACTACACAGAGTTGATGCTGCTAGAAATGCCAAAACAATGACCAAAACTTGAACTGCTGTATCTGAGACAGGTATGGCATAAAGACTTTCACTGTGTGTATGGGAAGGACTGACATTCATCCACAACAGCATCAAGACACACTATCTGATCAACAACATTTAACAGATCATATGGGAAAATTCCTGTTAAATATACATATATGTATAAATGTTCACTAATCCCTAACAACAGGGACAATTCCCTGATAACCTCCTGTTGAAGATTAAAAACTGCCAAGAATATCATGTAATAAGGCCTAAATAACACTAATGGAACTCCTACTACTCAAAATACAGTATGACTGACACCTAATACTGCAAAAATTATTTGCTGTATTAAGTTCACAGTTTTCCATCAAATGACTGAGAAGGTTAAACATAGACACAGATATAACCTAAGTAACATCCACTTGGCAATGTCCCTAAACAATGACCTCTCTCAGCAACAGCAACGGAAAGATTCCCTCAGAACTGGAAGTAGACTTAGCAATTCTCCTCAAAGATTACTTTCATGAACAGAGAAATCCTTATAACTAGTCACTGTAAATTAAAAAAACCCATAGAAATAGAGCAGGTTTGCTATCCAATTTCTTGATGGAGACAAGTGCACTACCTAACTTAAAACACTTCCAATTTAGAATATTCTGTGATTTCTCTGATTCTGTAAAATGAGGAAAAATGCTCTACACTGCACTTAGTTCTATTTCAGGGTGGAGACAGAAAGACTAGGACTACAGTGTTGACTGAATCAAGTCTTTAAAAATGAAAATACAATTAAAAGGAGACACCTCAGAACTACAGTAGCCAGAGAATCCTTTTTTTTTTTGTTTGTTTGGAATTATTTTAGCAATGACATGATACAAGCAGAAGTGTCATTTAACAAAAGTTAATGGAAAATGACATTGCAAAAATCATGTCATGACCAAGGAACTCATTAATGGTTAGTATTTAGTTTATGTACTAATTCAAGCTACACAGAGCTGATGTTACTTTTAAGTTTTCAATTTTCACTTAAGTGCAATTCACGGGTGTACTCCAGGTTGCTGACAGCTAGTTTTAGTTGTAAATTACCTTCAGATATTTATTGGCCTGGGGATTATTAATAAAGCATTCAACAAGAAAAATTACTTTAAAATACTGCTTACCTTCAAAATTACTTTAAAATACTGTCTACCTTCAAAAGATTTGTTAAAATATAAAATATATGCAGGTTTACCCATGAATATGGGTCTGTGTCAGTCAGACATTCTGAGAAAGCGCAGAGTTAATGATTTATTCAAATTAAATAACACTATTAGAAAATGTTACAATGACAGTACCTCAGAATCTCTGCTTCAGACTTAAAAACACTATTCCTCTACATAATTAATACACACACAAAAGGAACAGTGTAGTCTTCAAATATACATCGATACTAAGAAATACCTGGAGATTTTCACAGACCTGTGTTTAGCTTAATCAACTGCAAACCGAAAGCAAAATCTTTTAAAGCTGTCATACTTCTGTGGGGATTTTTTTTCTACCAAATTACCAATTTATATGAAAGACTTTTGTAACAAACAAGCTATAATTAAAATACATTACTCAACTTTTCTACTAATCAGCTATACTGCTCCATGTGCCAAGCATTGCCTGCAAACTTTTAAAAAAAGATCCTGTTTGATGATTAGTGCACCCAGTTTTCGAAGAGAAAATGAGATCCTCCTGCTTTGTACAATGAAATACTCCTTTCTTGGAGACCATTGAAAGGGAATAATCATTCTATAAACAGGCTCTGTAATATCACTTCTGCGAATGTGTGTGTGGGTGAGGGGGGTGTTGACAAAAAAACCCCACAGGGCTACTCTGCCAGAAGGAAGTTGTTTGGAAAAGTTCTTAAAAACTGACAATGTCTGTCTGACAAAGGACAGTAGCACTGCTTGAGCATACCTGAAGGGGCACACAGAGGAAGTAAAAAAATAAAGTTTCTACTTACTGGAATACAGGATTTAGAAGTATTTAAAATCTAGTGGTATCACAGGCTTTGCTACTAAAAAAAGCACAATTCTCATCAGAGAGAACAGAAAAAAGTTAATTTTTAATCTTCAGCAGCATCAGCATTCCTAATTTCACTAAAATTTGAAATGAAATGTAACGCATATGTTCTAAGTAGGAGCACCTTCCAACAACAATTATTAAGCTGATACAATCAGAAGCAATAATAATACATCAACAACTCATTTTTACATGATCTGATCCCCATTACCAGTATATGCATGCAGAAATTAAACACTGTAATGGTTGCTGGAGGTTGGTGGAGGTTGGACCTGCTGACCCACTGTGGTCCCTTTCAAATGTGACCAAGTCTGTGATTCTATGTTGTGCTTTTAACATTAATGCATTAAACACAGCAGAAAACATTTACAAGACTGCAAGCTACTGTGATAAATATATAAATAAAATATCTGATGACAAATACCTTTGACAAGTCCCTGAAGTTGCTAGGAAGAGTAAGGTCCAACTCATCTGATTCATAGTTGGTGATAACCCAAGGGAAGACAGGGTACTGATTTAAATCATTGTAAGTTCGACCTGACAAATAACAAACAAACACCCACTGTGAATAAAGAATTATATTTATCTAAAATACCAACCTCTAAAGATGCAACAATATAATTTTATGAGCTCTTCAAAAGAACTGCAATTCATTTCAGTCCTTTTATCAATATCTACTTTGCTTTATTGAAAGGATAATGAAAAAGTTCACAAACTGCTAGTATTTAATTTAAAACATTGCAGCCCATTTCACTTTAATTGTAAACTCTTTTGCATACAGTAAGATTGACAGTTAAATCCATTCATTTCCTATGCATTTCTCCTTTCCTTGTTTCTGTCATCTTGTCTTCCATTTCTTTAAGGTGAAACACTTAAAAAAATGGAGGGGAAATGATTTTTGCTGATACTAAAAAAGTAAAGCAATATTTTCACATACTGTATTAAATACAATATGTGACAGCAGAATGAAGCAAGTAAAATTTTAGATTGAGAAATTATTCAATTAATAATCGGTTCATCTAGAGAATGCACTTCAAAGGGAATTACTCCTGGCTCCCTGGCTACCTATGGATACCCCAACATTTATCAGAACACAAAATTTGTTCTGGCTGCAGGTTCCTGTGTACACCTTCATGCATCTAAGATGAAAATAATATCCTTCTTCTGGTAAGAACAAAATATTCAATTAGGATAAATGTATACCATACATACACATCCACCACATAAGCTGGTTTCTAATTTTAAAATGCATAATTTTTACATGGATCCTGTCTCTTTTCATGATATTGTTGCAGAAGCTCATTCATTCATATCATCTCCAATCAGTATGTTCTCAAGACTTTGTACACCCTGATCCTAAGAATCTTCAAGGACAGGTTTTAACTTCTTCCGCAGGAATATTGTTTTACAATCCAATCTATAAAGTTGTCAGAAAACATTTTCTAAACTTCTACCCAAGCTTTTCTTCTTCCAGTTTTCTTACACCATTCAGTATTTTTCCAGTCTGGTTTGTAGGATTTTTAAATGGTATAGTCAGATCCTTTCTTGCCCTAATTGGTTGGTTATGTTGCATATTATCTCTTATTCAGGATTAAGGCTACTTATGTGACACAGTGATAACTATCTTTATTTCTTTCAATTTTTTAACTCTCTATCATGGGCAACTCAACCTTCCCTTTTTCTATAACTTTATCTTTTTGTTTCTTTTGACCTCAAACACCAACTAATGTAGGAATTCAATTTATTATTTCAATAACATTAAAGCTGAAAGGGATCATTCATTAGAGCCACTGAAAACAGTGTCATGATTTGCCTCATTCAACTTTAGCAGTAATGAGGCAAGGAGATCGACCCCTACTTATAAAAAATCTGCCAGTATCCTGGCATCTCTGACTTAATGACTGATTACAGAAACTAGTAAAACTGACCATTTGTATAAAATGTAATTAGTGAGAGTAGAGGCATTTGTTGTGTCAATCGTGTTAGCAAGAGCCAAGTCTGAAAGGGAATTAACAGATCTTTCAACACTGTCAATACCACGGAAAAGAGCAGAAAACTGAGAAATTTTCTAAGTTGTTCAGAGAATAAAATAAGCTGGGAAATAAAAGAGAGGTCATGAGACCTAACAATCAGCCTCTATTTACTAAACTGAAGTCAAGCTGGTTAGAAGCTAACGGGGTAAGATGAGTTAAATGAAATATAGGTTAGCATTTACAGAATGAGTGGTTAGGACAAAAACACATGGTTACAAATCAGAATTTGGGAATGTATGAATGGTGTCCTAGCACAGCAGCACTGATGATCCAGGTGCTGCACTCTTTTTTGAGACCAATCATACATCCTGTAACAGTAGTATTTATTGGCTCCAGGAATATCCTGCTCCCTAGCTGAGATTTCCCAGCCCTACAGAGAACTTGTTGCATCTATGATATTTAGGGAAGATATTAGAATATTAGAACTTAGAATACTAAAGATAAAGAAATTACTATTTTTGAGACTCTCCTAAATAGCAGAGACTCTCCTAAATGCAGAGCCTATCCTTCCACAACAGTTATGACATTCTGACTTCAGACACACATTGTAAGTGCAGTTCAGTAAAGCACTATGAATGCCTCACTAGTCTTGCATAAACAGAAATATAAGTATGGATTAGTAAATTTAGTGAAGATTTTTGTCAAGTTCTTCAGAAGAAAATCATACATAGAAAAAACTATTCATTAAAAGAACAAAATCCAAGTTGTGCCCCACGTCTGTTGAGAGTATGCCACGATTAACTCCTTTTCTCTGTTATAATAATTTTTAAGTATAGTAATTAGCAATACCTGCTATAGTGTTTAGAAACATCAGGTATTCAAAGTTGGAAATTTCTCTGTGTTGCCATCGTTGGGTCATATTGGAAGCTTTGAAAATCTGTCGTGGACTAGCCAAAGAAATGCGCCTGAAAAAAACCAAGAAAATTGTAAGAAAATAATGAGAAAACCTGGTGGGTCTTCCTTTTTACATATCTGAATTTTAGTGGCAGTTGTACACATTCTTTTTACTAGGTCTGTGCTAGATTTCTCTGGAGATCAAACTGCTACTTGGATACTTGAAGTTCATTTTTAAAGTTTTATAATATAATAAGAATAAAAGCCTTAAAACATCTGACAGACGGATATGTCAGGATTTGAAAGATTTCAAACAGAAACCTTTACAGCTGTGCAAATCGAGCTGCTCCATGACAGCTTGATGTATTACAGAAATATGTTACTAAAGATTTAGAGAGATGGAAGACCATCAAATAAGAAAATTACAATACTTTTAAAATTTCACAAAAGAACAAATTAATCTTTGAGGATAGGTTTTTAAATCCCTCAAGAACAAAGGAAAACAATGATAAGATGATAGAACTGCATTACAAAGTCCATCCTCTGGAGATCTAAATTCTGGGCAGTGTTGGGGATTTAGTCATAAATAACTCAAGACTTTTAGAATTTGATGCCAGATTTTCTAATGTTTGTGAAAGAAGATTGTAAAGTCATTCCTTGGAGTGATAAATCAAATAGAGAAAAACTTATCATAAAATTCCCCAAACTGTTTTGTTCATAACAAAAACATCTGTAAACACCAAACCCACATCATTTAGGGGGAAAAAAAAAATCTATGTATAGTTTTAGTTAACAAAACTTTACAGGTGCTGGCAAACAATTCAAGGAAACAGTTACTGTAACTGAATTCTTTTTAATAAACTGCATTATATTATAAACAAATCTATCAGTATAAACGGATGGGAAATTCTGAGCAAGTGTGTCTATAGTTCAATGTATATTTAAAAATTTTCACACGTAATTTGTTTCTGTAAATAGAAATCCTGAAGTTCTTACAGAATGGCTATACTTGCAAGCTAAACCACAAAACACAACAGAAAACATCCCCAGCTATTTTAATCCCATTTCTATGTACAGAAATCTATTAAAAATAAAAATTTAGAGAAACCATGATCAAGATACTCCATAAGGGTTGCTGCTGACTCTAAAAATTTGGAGATTAATCTACTCGTAACGGCTTATAATTCATTAGAATACAAGAGGCAGCCAATCCAACTAGAGATGAGGTATACCTCAAAAGCTTCTATTCCCAATTACCCTCAGGGAACATTAAACTGTGCTGCTGTGTTTCACCCAGAGAACTGCTGGTAACCAAGCTCTCATCTTCTGCTAAAAAAGATGTAGCAAACTGAATCATATCCTTCAGGTTTAGGATCCAAACACACAGCCTGAAGTTGGAATACTAATTTCTCACCATGTCAAATTTGAACAGTGTCCTCCAGAGCTAAAAGACAAGCACAGCATATCATTCCTTTTGCATCCAGTTCAGCTTATGTTGTTCTACACATCACTACAATAACTTTCTGATGAGGAATAATCATTTTCATCTATGTTTAAATACCACAGAGGGTTCAGGGATGTCAAAGTCAAGCTAATATATTTGAATGCTGCCTCAAAAGCTAATCAGTCCCACAGCCAGCCTTAAATTTTAGTGAGTTGGCAAGCACGAAGAAACCTCTTTTCCTTTAGAAGGGTAAATGACTGAGTATCACTGCCAAAAAGACAGAAATCACAAAAAAAAAACCCCACAACCAACCTCAAATCCAAAAGTTGTTATTAGGCAAACACATCGCAAATAGCATGCAGAAGTGACAGGCTGAGGATGTGCACCTTCTGTAAACTAGTAAAAGCTTCAAACCATGTGGGCTAGTTTGATGAAAAAAGACCTCTTAGAAGTGACAGATAAAATTATCTCAGATTGTAAAATACCTGGTCTGGGGCAGTCCAAAGATAGTACCAATACCGACCCGAGGTAGACAGTTAACCACTTTCTTTACTGTTGCTTGGTCAGGGAAGTTGAACATGACAGCCACTGTGAACACAAGAGGTGAAGTACAGCATGATTTTACACCTTTTATTTTAGGCTTTCTCAGACAATAAAATTTACCACTAACAGGAATTGCAATAGAAGTTGTCACTGTTACAAATCTTATGAGGTTTACATTTGTTTTCCCTTCTGAATAGAAGTGAAATCTATATGCACAGATTGACTGTCTAGAACTGATAAAGTTTATATTTACACATTTACTAATTTATTTTCTAGGTATTTTCTAGACATAGTCTTCAAAATATTATCTTGATATTTTGTTTGAATTATTTGAATGACACTAGTGAAGCAGTAACCCAAAAAAGTAAATAACAATCTAATTATGGTATCACGAATGGACATTTATGACTTCCCAGAGTACAACTACTGGCTACAAAATAGGAAAATATTTATGCATATGACTAATATTCTGTTGGTCAATATGCACAACAGTGCTCTACAAGATACACACCTGATATTTACCAGCCACATTCAAGATCAGACACCATTTTAAGCTATGATAAAAACCTTTTTACTAGAATACTGACTGGATATAACATGCTATCCTATGAAACATTTATCGATTTCAGGACAGTGTTCCATATCATTATCAAAACAATGTCCTACATTTTAAAAGCACTTACTTTAAAAGACTTACTTTCTTTAGTGTCTTTGTATACAGTTTTTAAAGTTTCATACCGGCACAAAAACAGTATCTGAAGAATTTTAGTCTAAACTGCAAAGACATCATATAACCTGGTTTAAAATAAAATGCAGGGGGACAAAATGGCAGAAGAAAGCTCTCTAAGTCTCAATGTACTGTGTTTTGAGTGACTTGTCACAGCACACTGTGTGTCTGAAAAACGAACTGAAGAAAGGGAGGGTGAAAAAAAAATCATAAACAAGTCAAATCCACATTTACTTCTTGGAGTTGCACTAGGGTCTAAATAAAAGACATTGTTACTAGAAATAAAGCATGAAGGCATATCAGTCATTGGTCTAATCCAGTAGTGAAGTTCTTTCATTATGCTGTTTTGGTGTGTACAACTAATAACTATTACCCTCCAAAGGGACACAAAAAATCCTTCATGCATAACAGATCAGAGGTAGGAACGTCTTAAGCGGGAGTTTTCAGAGAATGCCAAATAAACACACGGATATAAATGAAAGTGAGGCACTGCTAATGCACAGTTTTCATGCTTGATCATAATTCCTCACTGAAAAAAAAAGTGAAAGGAAAAACTAAACTACAAAATTATACTAACTTAAATACTGAGAAATTTAATCTAAGCCCTCCTTCTGTCTACACAAATCCATACCAAAACAGATGTGACTAAACATCCAAACAGAATACACGTGGCCCCAAATCCACACCTGTCATTGCTCTAAACTCACCATACCTCTATTTGCCATGAATATCTCCAGTGCTGTATTTTGCAAAAGATAACGTCGGGAAAAGATAGCTCGAATCTCTGAAAAGAGCCATTTTCCATGGAGTCCTTCTGTATATGCCAGAATCTAGAAGAAAGAGACAGAGAGAATTTTTTAAATATGTTGTCTCTATAGGTAATACCTTGTAAAAGGGAAACTCTTTGACCCACAAATATGTATCCTACCAACTACATGCAAAATCTGCAGCAAAATAAAAATATGCTCAAACTTCAAATCATTCTATGAACCTATAATGGATTTTTGGTACTCCTAAATTCAACTACTCATGTCACATATTTTAAAAATTTGCTTGTACTTTTCCCTTTAAAGACAACTGCCTATTTTCCACAATAGTTTCGCAGTTTCAGAAACAAATATTTGGCACTTCAGCAAAGCATTAAAATATATTCTTAAACGTACTACTAGTAAAATTAGATGTATCTGCACTGACTTTAGCCTTGTAATAACAGGCCTGTAACAAATAAGCGAGAAAAAATGTCTTTAAAGAAAAAAAATGTTCCTTACGTTTATCGTTAAGACAACATTCATTAATTCTGGAACCAGAAAGGTTGGCTGTATAAGAGGTTAAGTATCATTTTGTCAGCTAAGGTTAAACACAAACCTGCAAATGAACTCAGCATAATCTCTCTATGGAGTAAGCGGTTGTCAAAGTAACTTGTTACAATTCCTGTCATCCCATCTGACAGACACAGATGCTTAGTCTGCCTTCACAATTCAAACTAATCCCATTTTCAGTCCTCAGCCACTTTGTTTCTTTGTTGCTTCACTTTTTCCTTTTCATTTCAAAGCTTAATTATATAAGTGTTAAGGGACAGAGAGACTGGACACTTCTCTACCTCAGATTAACAAACCATAAGTGAATGAAATTATGAGATTTGTCAATTTTAGCAAACACAAAAGCACTTAACAGAAACCCATCACAGAAAAAGAGACTCAGAAGCAATCCTTGTTAACATCACTCTTACCACAATTTCACTTGAGCAATATATTGTGTATAAAAAAGAAAAAGTGAAATTCAAGCACTTAACATAACAAAGCCTGTTAATGAAATCAATCATTTGTTTACAGATTTTTAACAAAGGAGGATTTTGCCTCACATGTAGCATATATTCACAAATAAAACCTGCATTTTTGTAGCAAAGAAAGCAGAGGCACCATTATAAAAGCTCTACACAATACAGTATAAAGTACAGTACCACATTTGTGAATTAAAAGCAAACAAGTCTGGCAAAACAAAAGCAGATAGCACAGATGATCAGAACATACAAAGCAAATCATCTCCCACACCTTTCTTTTTAACTTAATCTCTCATCTTCACCTCAATACAAGTGCCACAGTCAACTTCTCTCCCAAGCACACACACACACACAGAAAGAGAAGGAAAAAACTGAATAATTATTCCGGTACAAAATTCTAGAAATGTGATAAAAGGACCAGAGATTGTCAATGGTTGCTAAACATTTCTGGAACCGGGGAACAGACTTGGGCCACGCTGACACTTTCCATACCACATCCATAACCCATCCACACTAATTGGCAGATTTGTATAATTCTGTGGTGCTATTCAGAACCACCGTGGTTGGCTTTTGTCACATGCATATAAATATCCTTTAAGCGCACGACATCAAAAGAGGTAACAAAGGAGACAAAGTTGCAGTGCTTGTGTACAAAAATCTCTTAGTGCTTTTGCTGGTCTTTATCCCTCTTACAATCTTGAAATTGGAGCTTATAATTTCAACGACTGGGTTTTTTTTTTTTGAGGCAGACAGCAGTGTGATAACCTCTGCTTTTCCGTAGTAACTATTAAAATACAACAGCCCGCTTGTCGCTATCAGTCTGCGCGTGGCAAATTCAAACACTTACTACGTGGATACTGTGAGTAATATCAGCAAGTCAAATAATTATCATTTTTACCCTGTGAAGTTTTTTGTGAGAGTGGGAACCCTGCACATGACCCCAGGTTTGCTGCATGCAACTTCCTCAAAACTGGAAGGAAAAGCACCGACTCGAAAACAGCAGAGTTGGTTTGCACTGTACACCTTGTACAGCCAGTGTGAAGTTACAGAATTCGGTATAATAGGATTTACAGCAGAAACTGGAACTGCACTGCAGAAACACTACCAGCCACTGCTATAATAATTCTCCAAACTGCTCATTAACAGAAGTTATAAGGAAAGAGAAGCAGCTGAGGCCGGGCTGAGCAAGGCCTTCATTTCAAGTTGGAGTGGTGTCTGCCTGGTCTGCAGCTTCACTTCAAAGTCTCTGGAGTTCAATTAAAACTGGATTAGGTGGAAGCAGACCTTCTTTGGGACACTCTGTTCTCTGAAACTCCAGGCACACTGACAGCACCCTAGACAGAGGTCTAGCCCGCCAATGAACCAGTTGCCATGGAAACTGCAGCATTGCCCCTGCTCCCTGCTCATCACACCACCTATAGTAGATGAAAGGTCCAGAAGACAAACACATTTCTTTCATGTGCATTACTAAGTATTCCTTATGAAAATCCAATACAACCTTTTATTCCCTAACAAATATCTGATTTTAGTAACAGAACCTCCTAGTTGCAGAAACAGACTCACTCTTTGAATTAAATTCACCATTTTTATTCTGGCAAAGGGAATTTTTTTTTAAATTATTGTTATCACAGCCAATATCAGAATCACAGTTGTCAAAAACTATTTTTGCATTTGCCTGTTTTCACCCATAAGCCACACAACTCAGAACTCTTACTTCAGAATTTAAGAACAACTATCTTCTTCATATTATTGTACAATATGTTGAGTTCAAAACCAACTACTTTCTGCCTTTTGTCACCACCAGTTTTGGAACAACTTGTGGAACAGAGATTAATGAGGGTGTACAATCTAATTTAATCTGCACAAGTAGTACTGCCTTCACATGAAGAAGTATTTATAGAATTTCAGTTGATTCAACCCATCAGACTGAAGTTTAATCTACTGCACATTTCATTTGTTTCAAAAGACACCACACCTTACAGGACTAAAGACAATTTCTATAGTTTAACATTTCATTTAAAAACACATAAACAAATGAGCCAACTGTAAAGCTCTACGGTTCCAAAAATCTCATCAGACAAACTGTTCCGTGATTAGACTTTGGCAAAACCAGATAAACAGATGTCATGACAACACTCCTAAAGACACAAAATTACTTTCACCTTTGCATGAAGTCCCTTGGTTACTTCAAGTACTAGAAATGAAGGTCTGAAGCTGTAATCAGTGCTCATACTCATGCTGCAGGCCCTGACACTACACAGCTGGAAGAAACCCCCCAAGAAAGCAGCAGGTAAAGAAAGCCAGCTTCAATTTCCACTTGCAGGAGATTTTGAAATCAGAGCTGCATGAAAGCTTGAGTAGCACAGTGCTGATCACAAATTAAGATCATGCATAAATAAAGTCCTCTCCTCATGATCTACAGTTATATATCAGCTACTTTCCCCACATTAAAATGATCCCAGAGAAGCTATTCTGTCATTTTACAGTTTATAAAACAAATGCCCCACCACCTACCTTTTCTTCAAAACTCTCCCTTGAAGGTTGATCATAAACAATGTCTATTGTAAAAGATTTCATGCAATAGTTAAAAGATACCATCACCACAGCTGCCTTCTAAATTAGAAAAGCAATATTTCACTGAAGACTAAATGAATATTTTGCTTTACCTTTTAAGCAAGCCAATTAGCTATCGTATATTTTATTTTATTTTATTTCAGAGAAAAGTACTATTGATCTTGAAAATGTGAATAGGCTAGAAGTAATTAAGTCTGCAAATGGGTTATAGAACTGAAACAGTAATTGAATAATTATATTGCTTTAATGTGCCAGACAATTTAACTGCTATGAGTAAAATAAAAACTAAATAGCTTATTTAAAAAGCTGTTGCACATCTGTATAATTTCAAACAAAAGTTATGATGTAAGACAATGAGAAAAAAACCCAAACAATGAAGCACCAAATAAAAAATAAAGCATTTAATTTACATTTTAATTTGACAGTAGTTGAGAGATAAAATTCATAAATACATTCTTCTAGCAGCATTTCCTGTCATTTGGGGGCATTTTTGTCAGGAAGGCAGAATTACAGCACTCAGAGGTTATAAAACCTCTCAGCAAAGAACCTGGATTTCCACCATAATCTCACCCTTGCAACTGAGGAGCCTTGGATTCTACTGTTCAGGTACTATTTAGTTCCTGCCTGCAGGATTCACAGTGAAAGGGTCTTACTCTGCTCTTTGTTCAAATATGTCCAAGTACAACCGAACTAATAATCACCTTAAACACCAACATGCTCTTAAATAAATACTTATCATTTATTTTAGACTTCTCAAAGAAACAACAAATGTTTGTTTTAAATCTCATAGATATTTACTCAATCAGTCACTGAAATTCCCAGGCAAACAGTAGGAATCCAGTCCCTCCTGTGAGCATGCACAGTCTGCTACACAATCCTGTTCAGCATTTTCATGGGTGACAAACTCAATTAAACATATTCATTACTTTAATGTTCCACTAGACAGTTTTACCCAGCATAAAAAATTTAAATAAATAAATAAATACTCTGTGACCTTTGTATCGATCAGAGCAAAATGGCTTATGCCTGGGTGTGGGTGGTGAAGGGATTGGGGAGGGGGGTGGTAAAGGACTCTTATGTTTTCTCTTCCAATTACTGAAGGAGATGATAAAACCACAGCAAATGATGTATCAGCTCATTTTATCTTATCGCTTTGGGGCTAGGTGACAATGAAGTTCATATTTCACTGGTTCCCATTGAAGATTGTGAAAATTACTTGCCCTTATGACCTGAAATTTCACTGGAAGACAGAAATTTCTCTTCTGCAAAGTAATGCAATTTTTCAGATGTCAACCTTTAGCCCAGCTTTAAAAATTAATTTCATTTATATTAACCAATGATATTGATATTTTCACAGAATGCTCTTTGATACATGAACCACCGACTAGCAAATTGATGTGCTCTAGAAGGATAAAATTATTTTATCTGAAGCTGCTGGGGACAGACAGATTTACCACAAACTGAAATTCCTATTTC